CATGTTCATTTTTTTCGACTTATAATAAATGTGTGTAAAATAATAGGGTTCATTATGGACTCTGAATATTAGATAAACACTTTCTTATAAACTTGTGGACTCCAACACAAAAAATTATGATAAATGATAATCGTATTCTTAGAAGTACCTATAAATTGTATTTGTGATTGTAAACGTATCTTACAAACTCCTGTTTGGAAGACACAATGCATATTATGTGAATTTAACTTAATATTATATTTTGATACTGTCTTGATATAGGTACACCACAAATATGACCTCCAGTATGTAATGATTAATAAAAATCATATTTGTAAACGAATGTTGGATTTTTTTTTTACTTATAAAAAAAGTGTGTAAAATAATAGGGTGCTTCGTGGACTCTGCATGTCGGATAAGAACTGTATTATAAACTATTAAACTATTATAAACTTGTGGACTCCAGTACAAACAATTATGATATTCGTATTATTCGAAGTACAAAAATTATTTGTGAATGTAAACGTATCTTAGAGACTCCTGTTTGGAAGACTCAATGCATATTGTGTGTATCTAACTTATATTTAAATACCTTGCTTAAATTAACACCACACTTGTGACATCCAGTGATTAATAAACATTTTTTTTATAAACGAATGTCGGATTGTTTTCTAACTTATAATAAAAGTGTGTAAAACAATATGGTTTATTATGAACTTTGCATATCGGATAAATATTTTCTTTTAAATGTATGGACTCCAATACAAAAAATTATGATAATCGTATTTTTCAAAGTATAAAAATTATTTGTAAATGTAAACGTATCTTACAGACTCCTGCTTGGAAGACTCAATGCATATTGTGTGTATCTAACTTATATTTAAATACCTTGCTTAAATTAAGGGTCGGGCCACACTGCGGTATTTTCGCCGTTGAGGCCGAACGGTTTTACCGCCGGCGCTTGAAAAACCGTTCGAGTGGCTGCGCCACACTAGGGCGGCAAAACCGTTTGGCGTTTCCATTTTTTTCGTTTTATTCCCATTTGGAATTTGGTGATGTGCACACGTAATTTTGTTCATTTATTCATAAACTGAAGATATAAACTGAAATATCTTATAACCTAGAAATATATAATTATTTCTTTGTATTTATAGTAATTATAAGTTCTAAAATAATTTATTTGTTACATTCTTTTTTGAACCCATCTATAAATTGATATCAATTAAAATGCAGAGTGCTAATAATATGTAAGTATCAAAAATATTACCTATTGAGTAAATAATGTACTTGATAATACGTATTAAATATTTAAGAAATATATTTAATCAATTTAAAATTTCTTATTTAATAAGAATGGATTTTAACCGTGCTGTTTACCACTACAATTTACTCAAAGTAATTGCCATTGCTGAAGCTTGTGGAGAGCTAGATCCACCCAAGCAAAACCGAAACTACTGGGTGCATCCAATAAATTCAGACCGTGAAGAATCAAAAAAATTTCTTATGTTTTATGAAAATATAAGGTGTTATCCTGAAAAATTTTTTGAATATTATAGAATGTCAATCAGTTCTTTTGACAAACTATTGGAAAAAATACGACCATTTATAAAAAAACAAAACACTGCATTTCGTAACGCCGTAAGTCCAGAAGAACGTCTCACAGTTACATTGAGGTAATTTAAAGTAGATTCAAGCAATATTAATTAAAATACCTTACTTAATCAATTAATATATTAAACTATAAAATTAAGACTATTGTGTGTTTTTTGTGGGAAAGTAAGTTATCACAAAATTTAACAAGGTAATTTCAGATAAATTATATTTAAATATAATATTATAATATACTAACAGTTTGTTTGAAATGAATAACATAAAAAAAAACATATCACTTTTTAAAATTTGAAAAAATTCGTTCTTCTTTGAAATACCTATATAAAAAGTTTCTATATAGATAAAAAATAAAAAACAAAAAATAAAATTACATATTACATTATTATGTATAAGTCAATCAGCCTTTGATATGGACTTAACAAATTAAGGAAAATTATTTAAATACATATTGGTTGCTATTAGATTGTTCGAGACTTTGCAGAGTTTGTGGTGGTCCAGTGTATGAGGAATTTTGAGTGAGTGGTTCTGGAAATGCATATGATGTAGTCGCAGTGGATGATCCTATAGGTCTATTATAGCTGTAAGGATATGGAAAATTTGGAGACATATTGTGGTGATATACTGAACTGTTTGAACTGGAAGGACTATTATAGATGTTTTGTGGTTGAGAAGCTGATTGGGTAATGGTTCTGAGGGATTGAAAAAATTGAAATTTTAATTCCATTTTTTGTTCATCGTTTAGTTTTTTAATGTCCGGTAAAAATGATAGTAAAAATGCTTTATCTGGGTCATCAACTTCAGGTGGTGTTTGAAAAAATAACGGAGGGTTAGTTATTGCGTCTAGTAAAGCATCTTGAAATGAAGTGGTTTGAGCTTTTTTTTTAGAGCTAGACGACAACTTTGTTTTAGTAACACTACATTCCAATGGTGTTTCCAAACTTGATGAATTACCTTCCACATCGACTTCGTTATCATTTGACGATACATCTAATGCATTGTCCATGGTATGATTTATATTTCCAGTTGTTCTAAAAAAAACATAAAATCATACCTAGTAAATCTACCTAGATACTTAATAATTACTTATAAGTATACTGTTGATAATAATAATTTTGGAGGTGTTTCCTATTCTCTATCATGTTTTATATTGTTTATGTTACCCATATATTAGGTATACCCTAATTTATTACTTAATGTGTTAAAAAAATGCACAGACTGATTTATATTTCAGTAAATATTACTAAATATCAACTAAATAAAATATGTAACAATTAATTCTATGCATTATATGTTGAAAATTGTAATTATTTAACTAATAATTTTACTTTTGCAGGTACTTACTTTCTTTTTTTTTACAATAGGACGTAAGAACGATAAAACATTTGCATATGCATATGTTCTATTTTTTTTTGGCGCTTCAGAGCCACTTACAATTCGTCTTGAATCATTAACATCCCTTGTGTAATTATCTCGAATGTTCTTCCATTTTTTTTTTAACTCTTCGACTAAATTATAAATATATAATATATATACAATTATAGAATACATACATTAACATTTTTTTAAAATTAATATTAATTTGTACCTCCGTAATAATAGCTATAAAATGTAACTATAAAAGTTAAACATTTTATATATTTTTAACCACAAAATAATTTGATACATTTTGTCAAAATTTGAACTTTAAATGCTTATAAAAAAAATCGTTCCTATGTATTTTTAATATTTTTCAAATACCATTTAAGCAATATATCAGAAGCTTTTTATTAAACTGTAAAACTTTTTGATCCAACAAATACAATTTTATTAACATTTATAGGAAAAAAAATAAAAAATAAAAAAATTGAAAATTGAAAATGTCTATGGACAGCTCAAAACGATTAACAATGTTTTGAAAATTGTATTAAGTAATCATTCGTTTTTAAACTACAATAAAATTAAAAAATCACTCCATGTCTCCATGTGATCAATATAGTTAATATTCAATGGTGTAAACATTTCAATCGCTCATAAAAATTCATTTGACTTTCCAGCAGATATATATTTTTTCTTTGATAAGGGTAGACAAAAGTTGAGGAATCTTGTAGTAAATTTTCAAATCTAAGGTACAAAAAAAATTTTTTTATGGATTCTTAAATTTTCGTGATTTTTGCGAATTATATAAAAATTTGAACTTCAGGCGTTCATAAAATATTATTGTGGATTTACCTAAAACTTTTTTTTAATTTCCACTAAAATTATTTTGAGTTGAAATTCATATAAATTTTTTTTAGATTCTGAGTGGAGCGATGAATGTATTGGTTTTACAATGATGTGTGTTTTTTTTATTTTTTTGTGTCTGTGTACATGATTAGTAGTCGAAATAATGCTTTGATTTTCAACTTCAGTATCTTGTTCAACGGGAAAGTGAATCTTGTTGGTACTTTTGGGAGGTCAAAATTTAAAATTCTCATTAGTTTTCCAAAGCGCCCGGAAAAACAAAATAAAAATTAAGGAAAAACGGGAATTTTTACGCAAAATCGGTTTTTGACAAAATTGAATTTGGCTTTTAGTGTTACTCTAAAAAAAAATTATCGTAAATAGGTACATGCAATTTTCACTGAATGTTTATATCAGCCTTTACTTTAAATGAAAACATTTTCAAAATATTTTGACTTGTTTTGAGCTGTTTACGGATATACTCTCTTACCAACTTTTTTAGGTTTTTTTCTATTAATGTTTTATGTTGTGTATTTGCTGTATAAAAAAGCTTGCAAATTTAAAACAAAGCTCCTACTATATTACTTAAATGGTATTTGAAAAATATTAAAAATACATAGGCACAATTTTTTTTTAAGGTTTGAATTTTGACAAAATTTATCTAATTTAAAATTTAATAATTATTTGTAGTTAAAAATGTATAAAATATTCAACTTTTATAGCTAAGAATTGAAAATTTAAAACAAGGTTCTACGTAAATAGGTTATATTATATAAATTACTTTATTCACAATAAAATCATCAAATATACTTTGTAATATCATAGGCGAACTGACCGTTTTCGCTCAGAATCGTTTTTCTTATACAATGATATATCATTGAATTCAAATTTAACACTATCCATTACAATGACCCACTTGTAACCTACTGTACATCAGAGCAACATCCACTTACCCACCTTTTTTATATTTAAAATAAGAAAATTTAATACAAGGTTTCTCATAGTTCATACTGTAACCAAAAATTCTCAAAAATATATAAACAATTTTTTCTATAGTTATTTAAGTTAAAATTATGTTATATTACAGATTTTTGTCCGTTGGCATAAATTTTGTTGCCTTAAAATATGAATTTTCACTTGGTAGAAGCACTATTAGCAACATTATTAAAGAAACGTGTGAAGTAATTTGGAATGTTCTGCAGCAAGCTGAAATGCCAAAACCAAGTTCCGAACAGTGGCGTGATGTAGCAGACAAATTTTTTACAAAAACCCAATTTCCCAACTGCGTGGGAGCTGTTGACGGAAAGCATATACGATGCGTCAATCCTAAAAACTCGGGATCAATTTATTTTAATTATAAGAAATTTTTCTCGATAGTTCTAATGGCAGTAGTGGACGCAGAATACTGCTTTATATCTATCGACGTAGGTGCATATGGACGAGAAGCTGATTCCACTGTTTTTAAAGAATGTCCCTTCGGTAAACTTTTATATTCGGAACAACTTGGCTTACCGGCACCGGTTTGTTTGCCAAATACCAGTGACAACCCTCAGCCATATGTAGTAATTGGAGATGAAGCATTTGGTCTACATAAAAATTTATTAAGACCTTTTCCGGGACGTGGTATTGATCGAAGAAAAAGGATTTTTAACTATAGGTTGTCAAGAGCAAGAAGGTATGTAGAGTGTTCTTTTGGCATACTGGCAAATAAATGGCGAGTTTTACATACAGCAATAAATGTAGAACCGGATTTTGCCGATATTATTGTTAAAGCTTGTTGTATACTTCACAATTTTGTCAGAAGGAGAGACGGTGTCAATTTTGAAGATACGCTAAGCAATAGCTTAGATAATTTAGAAGTACATCAGAATGATACTGGAGGTCGTTCACAAGGCAAAGATGTGAGGGACTATTTTGCAAATTATTTTTTAGAGGCTGGATCTGTTCCATTTCAATATAGATTTGTATAAGAAATTGTATTTAATATTATAATTTTTTTAAAAATTATTTGAGATTTCTTAAAACTTTAAATTATTAATATTTTAATCTTATATTTATTTTTAAATAACATGTGTAAACAGTACAATTATAAAAATACTATATTATACTATGTTACCTATATGTTATACAACTTACTTTTATCTTCCTGTTCTTTGATTGAAAATGTTTCCCAATTTTCAAACATATTCATTGCTATATCTATCCAAGATTTTCTTTTTGTATCTCTTTCCAAAAACCCTTTACAAGTGGTTTTCCAAATGCATTTTCAATCTCCATTATTAAGCACTCAACGTCAATCATTTTTATGTAGTATGTAAAAAATGCACAAGGGTAAAAAAAATTAATAAATTTTATTCACGGAAATCGAATACACAATTTGGTTCAAACCGTTGGACGGGCACCGCAGTGTGACACATGTCATTTGAAATAGTGCTATATTAAAGCAAACGGCGAAACGGCATCGCCGTTCAACCGCTGCATGCAGCGGCACGCGGCGGCGGCGAACGGCGACGAACGGTAAAACCGCTGTGTATGGCGCGCTAAATTTAAACATGTATGTTTTTCACGAACGTAAAAACCGCGGCGGTAAAACCGTTCGGCCTCAACGGCGAAAATACCGCAGTGTGGCCCGACCCTAACACCACACTTGTGACATCCAGTGATTAATAAACATTTTTTTATAAACGAATGTCGGATTATTTTCTAACTTATAATAAAAGTGTGTAAAATAATATTGCTCAATACGGACTCTGCATATGGGATAAAAATTTTCTTATAACTTGTGAACTCCAGTACAGAAAATTATGATAATTGTATTTGTCGAAGTATAAAAAGTATTTGTAAATGTAAACGTATCTTACAGACTCCTGTTTTGAAGATTCAATGCATATTATATTATGAATTTTACTTAATATTATATTTTGATACTGTCTTGATATAGGTACCTACACCACAAATATGACCTCCAGTATGTAATGATTAATAAAAATCATATTTGTAAACGAATGTCGGATTTTTTTTTTACTTATAAAAAAAAGTGTGTAAAATAATAGGGTGCTTCGTGGACTCTGCATGTCGGATAAGGACTGTATTATAAACTTGTGGACTCCAGTACAAACAATTATGATATTCGTATTATTCGAATTTCGAAGTACAAAAATTATTTGTGAATGTAAACGTATCTTACGACTCCTGTTTAGAAGTCGAAATGCATATTGTGTGTATTTAACTTATAATTAAATACCTTGCTAATAAACACTACACTTATAGGATCCAATATGTAATGATCATAGATAAATGTCCGTTTTTTTTTCTAACTAATACTAGTGTGTAAAATAATAAGGTTCATTATTGACTCTGCATATTGTATAAATACTTTCCTGTGAACTTGTGGACTCCAGTACAAAAATGGATGATAATCATATGTGCTATAATTAATACCACACTTATGACATCCAGTGTGTATAATGATTAATAAACATTTTTTTTTTTAAACGAATGTCGGATTTTTTTCTTACTTATAATAAAAGTGTGTAAAATAATATTATGGTTCATTATGGACTCTGCATATTGGATAAACATTTTTTTAGAAACTTGTGGACTCCAGTACAAAAAAATATGATAATCGTATTTGTCGAAGTATAAACTTATGCGCAATTATAAACGTAACCTAACCTTGTCGGCTGCTAGGGCGAAAAAGACTAGGTTGAATCTTGTCAAGGCCCCTGGGTTCATCGAGATTTCATCGTCCGCAAATAGGAAGATCGTGTGGTATTATGCGAAAAATGTCGATAATACAATGATTTATTCTGATTTTCTCCGCCCGCTTATGCCTGAGTTAGTCAATTTATTGAAAACCCACGTGAAAAAACATGCGATTAAATTCAATTTGAAACTCGAGGCAACATACAACCGGCCCAACGTACCAAACTCGTCGGAGAACCGGGCATTCAAAACTTTGGCGGTAGAACTTTATTCGGATAGTGACATTAGAACGATTGTAGAGAGGGCGTACATGAAGTTAATGACAGAGAAAGATGAGTACCAATCACGTGGAAGCGGATTTACATTGGAGAGCATAGACGGCTTGTTGTTGGCGGTATATAAATATACACCGATGGGTGGCTCGTCGTATATTGAGTTGCCAACGTATATCGACAGGAAACGGGGTACAATAAATCCACAAAACACAGACCAGGAATGTTTTAAGTGGGCGATTCTAGCGAGGCATGTGGCATATAATTTATCTGATAAATATAAATACTGTGTGGGTGAAAATTACAAAAAACATGAAGGAAAATATAATTTTGACGGCCTCACCTTCCCGACACCGCTATCGGATATAACTAAATTCGAAAAAAACAATTCCAGCGTCTCCGTTAACGTCTATGGTATAGATAGAAAAATACAGCCACCAAAGTCCCCGAGGTATGAGGTATACACGCTACGAGTCGTTGACGAAGAGAAACCGGACCACTTCGACCTGTTGTTGGTAAAGGACGACAAAAACTCGCATTACGTTTACATTTCGAATTTTTCACGAATTGTGCGCGCACAAAAAACTAAGCATGATGAACGCGTTGTATTTTGTAAAAGGTGTTTTACGTCATTCGATGAAAGGCGGCATAAATACAAGTTGAGCGGACAGGAGGCGCTGAATCAACACAAGCTGATTTGCGGAGAACACACACCAATTTTACCAGAGATGCCAAAAGAGGGTGACTGTACTGAATTCAAGGCGTGGAATAAGACCCAGAGACACCCCATAGTAATTTATGCAGATTTTGAGACGATATTGACGAAGACTGATGAGAAGAAAGGAGCCAAGACGAGGATATTACATAGACATGAGGCGATGAGCTATAGTCTCATTGTGAAAGCGAGCGATAACGTACCGCAGGAGTTATTGGAGGAACATGACATACCAACAGAGTCAATATTATACCGAGGAAACAAGAATAAGACAGACGTGGCGAGACATTTTGTTGAAACCGTTACTGAGATGGCGATAAAAATTGAAAAATTATTGAAGACCAATAAACCTATAGTTTCCACGGATAAACAACGGCAGTCACATGATTCATGCAATTTATGTAATTTATGTAAGACTAACTTTACATTCGACAACCATAAGGTGGCAGATCACTGTCATCTCTCTGGAAAATACCGGCAAGCTATATGTAACACGTGCAATCTCAAGCTTCAAACACCAAACTTTATACCTATATTTTTTCATAACCTGTCCAACTATGACGCACATCTAATAGTTACAGAACTTGAACTCAAACTATAAGAGTAATACCTAACAGCGAGGAGAAATTTATATCATTTACGAAATACGTCACAAACACCTTTTCAATGCGATTTATAGACACGTTCAGGTTTATGGCATCAAAACTGTTGACTTTAGCCGAAAATCTTGTGACACCAGGGCTTGAAAATTTCCGAGAAACCGCGAAACATTTTGTCGCCGGAGATATGCCGTTAGTGACTCGAAAGGGGGTGTACCCATACGAGTACACAGATAGCTGGGATCGATTGGATGAAGAACGATTGCCGAGTAAGAGGAGTTTTTATAGTTCATTAAAAGAAGAACATATAGACGAGGAAGACTTTGAGCATGCGAAGTTGGTTTGGAACCACTTTGGCTGTAGGACGCTGGGCGAATATAGCGATTTGTATCTAAAAATTGACGTGCTGCTGTTGGCTGATGTGTTCGAAAACTTCCGCGACTTATGTATGAGGACATACAACTTGGACGCAGCCCACTATTTCACCACCCCAGGCTTAAGTTTCGATGCGATGCTGAAGTTTACGGGGCAGAAACTTTCACTTTTGACGGATTATGACATGTTATTGATGTTTGAGAATGGTCAGTATATTATTTTTAAAATGTATATATATATATATATATATATATATATAATATTAATCTTATTTATTTTGTATAGGTTTACGTGGTGGATTGGTTCAAGCGAGCAAACGATATGCGAAGGCGAATAATGCAAAGACCCCGGACTATGATGAGACGAAAGAGAAATCGTGGATAGTACATGCCGTACGGTGGGTTCAACTGGGTTGAACCCACATTAAACGGACTTGATGATTTGAACGATACATCACCCATAGGGCGAGTGTATGAGGTGGATGTAACATACCCACAAAAATTACATGATAAACACAACGATCTACCATTCTTGCCGAACAGCAGTATACCTCGCGTGTCGAAGGTGAGGAAGTTGATGGCAACGTTTGAGATGAAGAAGAACTATGTTATACATTATAGAAATCTGCAGCAGGCAATTAAGAATGGGTTGAAAGTGGAAAAAGTAAATATTTGTATTTTATAAGATTTTAAACAGATTGTAATAATTTGTTTATAGGTACATAGGGTTATTCAGTTTAACCAGTCTGACTGGTTAGCCAAATATATAGAATTAAACACAGAGTTGAGGAAAAAGGCGAAGAATGAATTTGAGAAGGACTTTTTTAAACTTATGAATAACGCTGTATTTGGTATGCAACTTTATTTATTATATAATATGTATATAAAAATGTTTACTGATATTTTGTGTTTGATTTTCTAGGGAAGACTATGCAATCGAAGAGGAAGGAAATTAAGATGGAGTTGGTGTCATGTGAGATGAGGTTGCAAAAAGTAATAAACAAATGTACATTTAAACACTGCACAAATTACAACGAGAACCTTAACGCTGTAACGCTTGAGAACAAATTAATCAAATTCGATAAACCTATATATATTGGTAAATATAATTTTTTTAAATTATATAATATACACTTATAATTACATTTATTATATATTTATTATTTACAGGATTTTCTGTATTAGATATTAGCAAAACGTTAATGTATGATTATCATTACAATGTCATGCAGAAACATTATGGAGATAGAATTAAGCTTATGTACACTGATACAGGTAAATATATACTAAAACTACATAATATATTTATTTAATATCATTCTTTTTCCAGATTCACTAGTGTATCATGTTCAGACGGAAGATTTTTATGTGGACTTGGCGGCTAACCACAACTTGTTGGATAGGATGGATACTGCTAACCTGCCCAGTGACCATCCGTGTTATGTAGCAGAAAGAAAAAAGTCCCCGGGCTTCTTCTCCGACGAGGTGAACGCAAATATAATTACTGAATTCTGCGGGTTGAGGGCCAAGTCGTATGCCTTCAACATATATGCTGGACAAGAGGATAAGGAGAAAGATGAAAAGGGCCGAGTAGGAGGAGAAAAGATTAAGGCGAAAGGTATCAGAGCTCATGTGGTTAAAAAACATATGACTCTTGAGGACCATAGGAAGTGCCTGTTTGGAGAAATTGGACAGGAGTTGTATAGAGACAATGTATCGATACGGTCATTCAATCACCAGCTTATGACAATAAGAACTAATAAGCTAACGTACAACAGCTATGATGATAAGAGGGTGGTGTTAGAGGACAAAATAAACACACTAGCCCATGGTCATTATAGTATAGAGTAAGTTATTACAATTATATATATATTTTTAAATTATTATACTGATTTTACTTTTTTAATTGTATAGGGAAGATGAACCCGAAGATGATTAGCCTGGAATAGAGACCATAACTGGAATGAAGAAGAAACCTTCTACATTGCCTAACCTGATTTTATATATTTTTATTGTTATATATTGATTATTACAAATAACTTGTAAGGATTTGTGTTTTTTGACGACACAAAAAACTACCCACGACCGAAGGGGAACACTCCGATCGTGACCTGTGAGCCGCACCGCGTGAGACCCGAGGGTCAAGTCGGTGGAACTCACAGGTTTTATACACGCATGGGCTAATGAAAGCCCAAGATTTATGGGGGGAATTAAGTTGAATTAATAAATAAATAATACGAGAATGTTCCTGCATGTTGTGGTGAAAGATACGTGTGTATGTCGTTGGGGTGGGGACAAGGTGTAGAATAATTATTTAGAGCGGCCTCAAGCCCTTTACCAAAAGCAGCATTTGATATATTGAGACCAAAAGGTACAACACAAAATTGATAGGAACGCCCATCATAAAGGAAACTAGTGTATTGCCGAACAGCAAGATCAAGGGGAATTTGCCAATATCCTGAAGAAAAATCGAGGGCGGAGAAAAAAGATTTGTTATTAAATTTTGCAAGAATTTCATCGATGGGTGGGGAAGCGTCTCGTGTGGGTAAGATAATAGTGTTTAACTTTCGGGCGTCTAAGCACAAGCGAATAGAGCCGTCGGCTTTAGCAACTGTTACTAGTGGGTTACTATAGGCAGAGTCTGATCTCTCAATAACCCCCCATTGAAGCATCTTGTTGATCTCCCTTTCTACCGCGGGACGACGGGAGAAAGGGACAGGGTATGGTCTAATTTTGTAAGGTTCATGTGGTCTAATGTTGAATTTATAAGAGAAAAATCTGTGAAGGCCAGGTTTATCTTGAAAAATTTGTTGATTTTGTTGAAGAAGGGAAAACATTAAATTTCGTTGAGATTCATTAAGTGGGATATCATTAAGGGCAATATTTTTTTCATTTTCAAACGGGAGAGGTGGCTGTTTTAAACTGGAAAGGGGTTCATACATATTAAGGTGGTGATCATTTAAATTTAGACTATTGAGTGAGTTTACAAGGCTACTGGGGTCGTGGTCCGCAATTAGTTTAAAAGGTATTTCATCATTAGTAGTAGAGAGGGAAATTATTTTTTTCTTATAGTCTATGGTCACCTCATTTTCCAACAGCCAGTCTGTCCCCAGAATAAGTGGGGTAGAGAGCAAGGGAACGACTAGAAAGATACCATGGGTTTCATATTGATTAATTGTAAATGTTAAATAAATTTGAGACTTAATTTTGACGGTTTTATTGCTAAGAGCTGTAGTGAGTAATATGCCTGAAAGAGGAAAAATAGGAATTTGATCTTGAGAGGGGTCAGTGGTTAAGCTTTGGAAAAAATGTTCCGAGATAGCTGATACTGAAGCACCTGAGTCAAGCAGAGCGGTTTGTTTATTATTAAAAATTTTGACAGTGATTTCTGGACGATAGTTGGGGGGAGGAGTTGATTCATGGTCTCGGTTTAACGGGTGTGTGAGTGTTGAAATTTGAGGACTTTGCGGGCGAGACACAGTACACATCCTCACAGGACTGGTCGGAACTAGTTTCCCAGGGGAGAGGTACTGGGTTCAGGGGCGGACTGTGTCGGATTAGTTTGATTGTACTGAGGGCGGGGATAATTACTATTACGGGGGATATATCGGTTTTGATTACCGTTAAAATTTGAGTTCTGATTTTGATTTTGAGAGTGGTTTCTGTTTTGATGATTGTGGCCTGAAGAATGGTTATATGAATGTTGATTTTGATTTTGAGAGGGAGGGTTTGATTGATTATTGGTTTGAGTTGAAGAGGAGTGAGATTGTTGAAGATGAGAGAGTTGCTGTATTAGTTCATTGGTGGTAGTGATTCTGAGACCGCGGAGAGCTACGGATATATTGAAAGAGAAATGAGAAATAAGTTGGTCGACCATCTCTGGTTGGTCTATTGGGGGTCTTAGGAAGCGGGCACGGTTGATCCAGTCCATGGCATGTTTTTGAAGGGAAGAATTGTCTCGGTGAAAATAGGGTCTGTATAGTTCATTGCGAATTGCCCGTTGCTGATTATTAGACCAAAAATGGCCCCTGAATAGTGATAAGAAATCCTGATATATTGAGGGAGAGGGTAATAAGGTGTTATACCATAAGCGAGCATCACCAATAAAACGTTCTTTAATATAATTAATCTTTACTTGGTCAGGTAGTGGAGTGTGGGTTAAAAAATATTGTTCGGCCTGTTCAAGGAACTCCTCTGGGTGTACCGGTGTTAATTTACCATCATATTGGGTGAGCTTTGTATAATCGAGTACTATGCCAGAAGTATTGGATAAGGTTACGTTTTCTTGAACAGAGGTGATGCGACTGGGGAGTGAGCTATTATACTTGGGGACAGAAAAACTAGAAATATTGAGTGGGGCAGTAGCTTGAGTTTGACACGGGTTAGCAAAGGTAGTAGAAGTTAAACAATTATTAAATGAATTATGATGTACGGGTTGTGAATTAGTAGAAACTGTGGGGGGTAGTGAATTGGTAATGGAGTATTGAAATTTATTTTCTAGAGCGGCTAGTCGGGCACTTTGCCCCTCTGTGAGGCTTACGCGGTCGCTTAGTGCTTTGATGGTGTCATTGAATGATCGTTGGGTAGTGGTAATGCTTTTATGGGACTCCTGGGACCGTTGTTGCTCTATAGAGATATCGTTCTGCATGGTAATGAGGTCTTTATTGAAAGAGGATTGAATTTAACACGAACGTCCGAGTCATTATCATCTATGCGGGCGCAGAGTTCGTCCATGCGGGTATCTAGTTCACTGAATTTACGGGAAATAGTTTCCATTTGGGCGTTAAAAGCATCGTTCATGTTACAGACAAGTTGAGCAAGGGACTCTAGAGAGGGGGGAGAGTCTATTGGGGGGATTGCTGTTCATCCTCAAGTCCAGCCATTGTCAAATCAAAATCAGTTGCAGGTAGTATGGGAGAGGGGTATTGAAGAGAAGGGTTGTACCTCAGGGGTGGTCGTGTGATGCGTTTACCTGCACTATGCATTAGCCAGCATGCACATAAAAAAAATAAACACAAGAGAACTAGTTACCAACCTCGGTTAGCACAGTAGGCAGGGCAACTACAATGTTTATATTGAAATGGAAATATATGTCTAAAGACAAAAATAAAAATTAATAGTATATTATAACCAAAACAAAATATTGATCTCCAAGGGAGTCAAAAGAGAAAAAAAAGAAAAAATAGGTAATCGACAAAAATGATTATGGCAATTCGTTTAACTCTGAGGACAGAGATGATTAAATACAGAAAAAAATATATAATAAGTACAAATTATTTTTAAAAAAAAATTACCAAGAGATGGATATTAGAAAAGGTCAAAACAAAATAATTTTAATAACATTGTATGATATTCTGAACAATAAATAAAAAACAAACTGGTCCAAGTACTATAGTGGTACCATACAATAGGTCAAATTTGATATTCAGAATAACAAAATTAAAGTTTAGAAGGAAAACCTACAGTATATATAAAAATAATGTAATTTACAATGAAGGATATGAGAAGTTATCACTAGTCTAGGGTAAGTCACTAAGTTGACTTTTAATAGGGAGTAGTGATCCAAAAAAAAAATTTTGTTTTTTTTTTTTTTTTTACAGGTAATCTAATAAACTAGGAAATGAAGTGTCCACAGACAAAAATTATTGCATAATCAGAATAGAATCATATGTGTTGATCAAAGTATCAGAAAAATGTTAATATTGTTTAATATATATATATATATATATCATATAATAATGGGCCGTAGGTGGACCAAGACATGCCGGGAAATTATTTTCTTTCTATAGCTCAAACTACCAGTCGTAACGAATAAAGGTAAAGGGAGAAATGATACCTCCCACAGGGAGTTGGGAATACAAAGTATTTTATGTATATAGTTTTTTTTTTTTTTTTTTTTAATTAATTTGACATTGGGAATTGATTACTGGGAAAATGATATTTATAAATTTATTGTTCTTGCAAGAGACGGAAATGTTAAATATTTAAATGGTACTAATGAAAAAGAATTTCGTTTTTTTTTTTTTTTTTTCTTTTGGGTATTGATAATTATAAATTGTTCTTACAGTGGATTTTTAAAATAAGATTTAATTCTAAGGTTTTTTTGCGTTCAGCATTAAATAATAAAAATGTGCTCTCTACCAAGGGGAAAATATAATTAAATGTTCATAGCGAACTTACAGTTTTAATAACAAAATATTTCATAATGTAATATAATATAATAAGGGGATCCGCAGATCTACATTTTAACATAATATTTAGACCATGTGGTCTGGAAAAAAAAATATATTATCGCAGCAAGATAAAAATGAAACTACCAATGTTATACTAGGGTGGAGATACGGGTCTAGGGAAATCTAACAAGGGGGGGGGGGGAAACAAGGGGAAAATATAATAATGCATACCAAAAAGGGAAAAGACGTCGTTTGCAGTGTCCGGGTCTCCGACGCCGCAGCCATCCGCCGAGTCGCCACCGAAAAACACCTCCACCGCCTCCACGATGCATACACCGGCAGGAACAATTTCTGAAATATATTATGGGTTAACAAATGTATACAAGGGGGGGAACAAAAAAGGAATAATAATATAGTTTTTTACCTTGGTAGGTGGTGCATCATTCTGCATAATATAATAAGTTTTACAGTGTATTTTTTTTTCTACCAAGGGTAAATATAATAAAAGAAAATTAAGTGGTCCTCTTGCAAGAGAGTAATCAGAAATGGAGACATGTGTTTTTAAAAAAAAATTTGGGGGTTTGTGGAGTAAGCATTAGAGGGAATATAAGAAAACTGATTTGAATTATTTAATTATTACAGGGGACTGATAGGTTAGGAGATTAAATTGGATGAAATTTGCCATGTGTTTGCCAGAATAGTTTGTTAAGCTTTACATTTTAGAATTTTGCCATTTGCCTTATAGAGATTAATTTTTTTTTTTTTTTTTTTAACGGGGAGAAAGAGAGAGAAAGAGAGAAAGAGAGAAAAAAAAAAAATTTATTAGTAAAAAGGGGAATTTTAGGTCGTGTCCTGTCACGGTCGCCATATGTAAGGATTTGTGTTTTTTGACGACACAAAAAACTACCCACGACCGAAGGGGAACACTCCGATCGTGACCTGTGAGCCGCACCGCGTGAGACCCGAGGGTCAAGTCGGTGGAACTCACAGGTTTTATACACGCATGGGCTAATGAAAGCCCAAGATTTATGGGGGGAATTAAGTTGAATTAATAAATAAACAATAACAGAGATTTTCAGGGTAATTACACTAGTGTATTGTACACAAAGGTAGATGTAAGTTAATAAAAGTATAACTACTATAACATGGCACATGGCAAATACAAGAAAAAATAAAGATATAATAAGGTGGCGCACATCACATACATGAGGTATATGGTGGCCCAGGGCAAATACAAATTAAAGAGGGAAATAGGTGGAGATACGTTAATAACGTCATATAGACGCTTTTACATTTTAATAAAATCACCGGGCACGGTCAGCGCCAGAGCAAGGCGATCTGCGGCCGGCCTGTGCCGTCTAAGCACGTTATTTTAGTGGTGTCACACAAACAATAAAAATTATAATCCGGAGGGAAACTAACGGGGGATGATGTGGGGAAATATCATAGTTACGACACAGTAGTAGCGGCAGTGTTGATGTTGAGATGAAGTGTTGGTCTTCGATGATGAGGGGTGGGCTGGCGAACGCCACCGGCACACACGCGGCCGGCATGGCCCACCTGGTCGTCGAAGACAGCCGCTCACATGATGAACGAAAGAAAAAATGTATTCCGCAGCATGGTTGGTATGGCCACCACAGCCCGACGGGTATGGGTTAGCCCATCATGTTGATTGGACGTCGATGGAAATATTGTGAAAACCAAAAATCTGTTGAACGCACGTGGTTGATGCCGGAGCGCAGGACAATTGTGTTGCGGACGTGAATTAAAGGCAAAAACGTCTTGCTTATTCAGAGGTCAGTAGAAGAAGAAAATTTTGGTGTTGGTTCATCGCAGCGAGCCATGGGCCGCAACGGTTAGAGCAGTGTGGGTGATTGAGGGGAATTTACAATAATTTGAGGGAATTTCAGTACAGACTGCTCTGCCGACGCACACCGATGGACACGACGGACGCGCCCAGCGGCGGCGACCGACAGCCAGCGACGAACGTCAACGACGGGACACTGCAGATGGTGGGGATCGGGGGACAGGTGGTTATATAATATCGGCCGATTCACTGTATCAGCTGCGCGCGGGTGGATTGATATCAAAAAATAAAAATAAAATTATATTAAATGACATGGGGACAATATTATAAGAGGGTCAAAATTCTGTTACCTTACAAACTTATAAACAACTGTTTAGTTTTGTATATATATATATTGTAAATATTATATTATACTTGTACCTATATTATGTTAGCATATAAATAAAATAAAAAAAAACAATTGTTAAAATATATAATATTATTATTATTATGTTTATTAAATAAAATG